CGCCACAACGCCCGGCTATTTTTTGGTTGCAGCCGTCATTGTTGTTTGGCAGGTCCGGGCTGGGGATTCGAACCTGCCACCTTAGGTGTACATGGCTGGCGCCTTAGCCGGTTGAGCTATAGGTGCTGAGCCCCAAATCTTTAAAATAAATACTCCCTTTGTAGGATTTTTGTAAGGAATAAATAGGATCACATATGTAAAAGTATACTCAGTGTCTAGCTCAGAATGTGGCATGTAGCAGGCTGCCAGTGATGGCTTTTGCTTTTTGTTTTTGAGACAGAGACTCACCCTTTCACCCTCAGTAGAGTACTGTTGCATCATGGCTCACGGTCAACTCAAACTCTTAGGCTCAAGCGATCCTCTTGCCTCAGCCTCTTGAATAGCTGGGACTACAGGCACCTGCCACAACCCCTGGCTATTTTTAGAGATATAGTCTCATTCTTGCTCAGACTAGTCTCAAATACCTGAGCTCAAGGGATCCATTGACCTTGGCCTCCCAGGGTACTGGGATTACAGGCATGTGCCATTGCACCCAGCCCCAATAATATTTTTTGAGAGCATGGATAAATGAGTGAATGAGGGAATGGACTCCAGGAGGTAGGCTGAGGAGTCCATTACCTCTCCCCTAGGACTAATAGTAAATCAACCCTGAGCCCTGTGGCCTTATCTTGTTTTACTGAACAAGGCTGGGGCATGGGATGGCCCACCATGGTCCTGCACCCCAATCTTCCCTGCCTCCTCTCTTCTTAGCATCCAGACCAAGGCTGTGGCCCCTGAGGCAAGCCCAGAGAGAAGCTGCTCCCTCCACAGCTGCGCCCTTGAGGATCGTTCCAGCTATTCAGGACCCCCACCAACAAATTCCATTCTCCAGCCTGCGGGTCTGTCCAGCCCCTTGGTCCCTGCCCACTTCATCTATCCTCACATACCACAGGAATACCAGGGGAGCAATTGCCTGCCAGGACATGGGGACCATACAGCTCTTTGCTCCCAGGGCTCCAGTCTCAGCCCTTCCCCAACCTTCTCACAGCATGATGGGGTCTGGAAACCACCCTCTCTGCAGCACCATGTGGTCAGCGTCAGGTAAGGAGGGGTCCAGTAGCCTGTCAGCTGCCACTGGACAGTAGGCAGGGCTTGAAAGTGGGGCAGACCCCTGGGGCTCTAGACTCCTTTTTTAGGAGGCAGCTGGATGTCCTCTGTCCAGATGGAGTAGGAAGTAAGAACTGGAATGTGGGAGTGGGAAAGCTCTAAAAAGGTTAATGCCATTTTCTTCAATCCCTCACCTGCCCACTCCCCCTGCACACTCCTGCCCCACTAGAAGACTCCAGCAAGCGTCTTTTCTTATCTTCCACAGGCAGGACCGGGCCTTCCAGATGCCAAAGAGGTAGGACTTGGCCTTCCCTGGACTGCTAGGAATGACCAGACTGGCCAGATTAGCCCTACTCCATGAGTTTTCTGCTCTACCCACCTTTCTGGTGGACCCTAAGCTCACCAGGCCCTGCTATCATACCCAACACCAACTCACATGGGCTCCCTCCCTCTTTCCCAGCTATGCCCAGCTGATTGCTGAGTGGCCAGTGGCCGTACTGCTCCTATGTCTGGCTGTTGTCCTCCTCTGCACACTGGCTGGACTTTTAGGAGGCCGGCTGCCTGACTTCTCCAACCCTTTGCTGGTGAGGGGCCAAGAGGAGGGATGGGGCTCCCAGGTCTGGCCACCTCAGCTTATTCTGGGATAGAAAGTTGGAGTGGCCTAGCTGGGGGCAGGGTAGCAATGGGAGTTCTTAGCCTCTAGAAAGTGCTGGGGAGGTGGTATAGAGGTCACGCTCACATCTAAAATCCAGACAGATGGGCTTGCCCCCCCCCCCCACGCACACTTCAAGGAACCAAAGGCAGAGCTGAGACTGTCCCGATGAACAACTCCTTCCCTGCCCACCTGTTCTTTTCTGCCCTCCTCCTTGCAGGGCTTTGAGCCTCGGGACACAGACATTGGGCGCAAGTTAATGGTCTGGAGAGCACTGCAGGCTCTTACAGGCCCCAGGAAGCTGCTTTCCTTTTCCCCAGAACTAGAGCTGAACAGGTAACAGATCCTCAGATTTCCACTGTGGGTGGGAAAAAGAACAAGATCTCCAGGGAGGGACACTGGGTGACCTCCCCCAAGGCAAGTTCCAGGGGTTATCTGGGGCTCCCTGGGGACTAATCTCTGGCCTCCTCTGAGCATTCCACCCCTAATGATGCCTGGTGTAGATATTCTCTTTACCTCAGCTCAAGCTCCCACAGCTCTTTAAGCCCTGCACCCCAGGAGGGCATTGTCCGGCCTCGGAGGATGGTGGAGCCCCTGGAGGACAGAGGGCAGGAGAGCTTCTTCTGTGGCCCTCCTGGTAAGTGACAGTCTGGCCAGATCTGGCTTTAATGATAGTCCCTACCCCACCTAGCACAATAGTACAGGCAGTCCCAGAACAAATTGGACAGACAGAAAGGGAAAGTGGCCAGCTGGCCATGTTCGAGCCAAGGAAGTTGGATTACAGGTGGAAGATGTCAGGCAGGACTTGAGTGCTCCAGCCAGGTAGGGTCAAACTGTGGGGAAGGAAGGGATAGGGGCAGAATCAGGCAGCCAAGCACAGGTTTGAGGTTCCAGAAAACCTGAACCTTATATAATCCTGGATAAACATCTTCCTTTTGGTGGGCCCAAGACCCAGGGCCAAAAGGCTAAGCTCCAGGGGTTTGTGTTGCAGAGAAGAGATATGCACAGCTGGTGTTCATGGCCACCTCGGAGGGCAGCCTATGGAACCTGCATGCCATCCACTCTATGTGTCGCCTGGAACAGGACCAGGTGAGCTGGCTGGGAGGCATCAGAGACTTGGGAGGAACTAAGGACATGAGGGATCTGAGCCAGAACTGCCAGGTAGACTGAGGAAGAACATTCTTCAGTTAGAAAATTATTCCAACCCTGTAAGAGGCTCCAGGATGGGGTGGCAAAAGAAGAGTGGGCTGGTTTTTGGAAAAGCCAAGACACAAGTGCTGGAAGAAAGCCCAGGCAGATCCCAGGGATTTTCAAAAGGTCCTAAAAAGGGGGTAACTCTGAAAAGCTATTGAGAAGGCCTTGGCCCTGGGAGGGGAGAGTGTGGGCTTCAAGGTCCCAGCCCCTGTCAACCTAAGCAGAGCCAATCCAGTTATGCTCACTGGAAAACTATATCTTGTATCATCTAAAGAAAGGTTTGCTGAGTGAAACCACTCAGTAGCCCAAGCTCCCCACTTCACATGAGGATATTCAAATTACCAAAAGATAAGAATAAATGTTCTGGGGCAGCACTTCTTTCTTTTGTGTGCCAAGCCCTTTTCTCTCTCTTGGAGAAAGTAAAATAAACTTTTTGCTTCTTTCTATCCGAAAAGAAAAGAAAAGAATATGTGTTCTGAAGTTAGATGCCTGAATTTAAAGGCAGCTCTAAAGTTCCCTTACTGTGTTACTTCATATATGCTTTTGTTGTTGTTGTTCTTTTGTTTTGAGACATAGTCTCACTCTGTTGCCCCAGCTACAATCCAGTGGCATCATCACAGTTCACTGCGACCCCAAACTCCTGGGCTCAAGCAAGTAGCCAGGACTACAGGCATGCAACCACCATACCCAGTTAATTTTTCTATTTTTTGTGGAGACAGGGTCTTACTCTTGCTCAGACTGCTCTCAAACTCCTGACCTCAAGCAATCCTCCTGTCTCAGCCTCCCAAAGTGCTAGAAATACAGGCATGAGCTGCTGTATCCAGCCTAGATGTGTTTTTTTATTTTTATTATTTTGAGACAGAATCTTACTCTGTTGCCCAGGCTAGAGTGCCATGGTGTCATCCTAGCTCACAGCAACCTCAAACTCCTGGGTTCAAGTGATCTTCCTGCCTCAGACTCCAAAATACCTTGAACTACTGGCGCCCACCATGCTTGGCTAATTTTTTTTTTTTTTTTTGAGACAGAGTCTCAAGCTGTCACCTTGGGCAGAGTGCAGTGACATCACAGCTCACAGCAACCTCCAACTCCTGGGCTTAAGTGATTCTCTTGCCTCCGCCTCCCAAGTAGCTGGGATTACAGGCACCCACTACAATACCTGGCTATTTTTTGGTTGTAGTTGTCATTGTTGTTTCATAGGCCTGGCCAGCTCTGGTGTATGTGGCTGGCGCCTTAGCTGCTTGAGCTACAGGCGCCGAGCTAGCTAATATTTTTCTATTTTAGTAGAGACTGGGTCTCACTCTTGCTCAGGCTCAAACTCCTGAGATCAAGTGATCCTCCTGCCTTGGCCTCCCAGAGTACTAGGATTATAGGTGTGAGCCACCATGCCTGGCCTCAGACATGTTTTTTAATGTCTCTGTGCTTCGGTCTTCACATATGCTAAATAGGGATGATAAGGGTACTTTCCTCACAGGGATGTTGTGACAATTAAACAAGATTTGTCTTGAATTTAGAAAAATATAGCATGACTGGCAATAGTAATCTCTCAATAAATGTTACTGTGTTGTCACCATGATCTTAGGACCAAGGTCATACACACTGTTAGTAGTAGAGCAGGGCCTCTGATTCCCAGGCTAATGCTTTCTGTATTGTGTCATCTGCCATGTTGTCAAGGACAGGAAGGGAGAGAAAAGGAGGCATGAAGTCTGAAAAAGAAACAACCTGTGCCCTAAGAGGGCTTAAGCAGCCCACTGGACAGAGGCAGGGGACTGAGGTTTGGCAGTAACCCTGATTCTGGAATGTTTTAGCCCATGCATGGCCCAAATACTGGCCTGCTTTTCCTATTGCTTGCTTCCACCTCCTTGGACCCTTGGCCCCATTCTATCCGTGGCTGCCACTCCATTCCCACTCCTGGCCTAGGCAGTGCAGAGTTAGGGTATGTGACCTACAGGGGCCCTTAGGTAAGGGCCTCTCAGGCTGAGGTCTTGGGCAGTATCCTGAGGTTCCTCTCTGATGGAGTCAAGATGTAGCTGCTGGCACCTAATCTATGCACCAAAGGCCAGCCCTGAGACAGGCCAGTTCTGCTGGGCTGTCAGGATCCCTCTTTGCCTCTGTCTGGCAGCCTGAAAGGAAGTGAAAGGACCTCAGACAGGACTGGGGCTCCTTGGGTTACACCTGAGCTCTCTTCTCTTGTGTGTGTCCTACAGATCCGCACCCATGCCCATTTTGGGGCTCTGTGCCAACAAACAGCAACCAAGGAATGCTGCCCCAGCTGGTCCATGGGCAACTATGTAGCTGTGCTCTCCAATCGATCCTCTTGCCTGGACACTACTGAAGCTGATGCAGCCCGCATACTGGCCCTGCTTCGCGTCTGTGCAGTCTTCTACCACCGACACACCCTGGTGCCCGCCTGTCTGGGACCTGGGCAGGACAAGCCCCCATTTTGTGCCCAGGTTCCCACCAAGTGCTCCCAGAGCAGTGCCATCTACCAACTCTTGCACTTTCTGCTTGACAGGGACTTTCTGAGTCCCCAGACTGCTGACTACCAGGTGCCCTCCCTCAAATACAGCCTGCTCTTCCTGCCCACCCCAAAGGGTGCTCCCATGCTGAGCATTTACCTGGACCGGCTAATCGCCCCGTTGGAGCTCGCTGACAACTACACTTTTATCACTGGCATGGACCTGGGAGTAAAGCAGGAACTGCTGAAGTACTACCTGGTGCAGGATACGGTGTACCCCTTCCTGGCCCTGGGTGCCATAGTCCTTGGCATCGCCCTCTACCTGCGCTCACTTTTCATGGCGCTCATGGTGCTGCTGGGGGTGCTGGGCTCCCTGCTGGTTGCCTTCTTTCTTTACCAAGTGGTTTTCCGCATGGCCTACTTTCCCTTTGTCAATCTGGCGGCCGTCATCCTCCTCAGCAGCGTCTGCACCAACCACACACTCATCTTCTTCGACCTATGGCGCCTTAGCAAGCGCCAGCTGCCCTCTGGGGGACTGGCGCTTCGAGTGGGCCGCACCATGCACCACTTTGGCTACCTGCTGCTGGTCTCTGGCCTCACAACTAGTGTGGCTTTCTACGCCAGCTACCTGAGCCGCCTGCCAGCCGTGCGCTGCTTCGCCGTGTACATGGGCACGGCTGTGCTGGTGCACCTGGCACTCACGCTGGCCTGGCTGCCCGCCTCCGCTGTGCTGCACGATCGCTATCTGGCACGCTGTTGTGTGCCCCGGGAGCAGGGTCCGCGGGGAGGCAGCGCGCTCCGGCGGCTGGCGCGGACACTGCACCGGCGGCTCCGCATCCTTCGAAAGGCGGTGACCATCACCTCGCGCCTGCTCTTCCAGCGCCTACTGCCCTGTGGCGTCATCAAGTTCCGCTACATCTGGATCTGCTGGTTCGCGGCGTTGGCGACAGGGGGCGCCTACATCTCCGGCGTCAGCCCCCGCCTGCAGCTGCCCACTCTACAGCCCTCCATTGGCCAGGTCTTCCAGCGGAGCCACCCCTTCGAGCGCTACGACGCAGAGTACCGCCAGCAGTTTCTGTTTGAGCAGCCTCCTGAGGACAGGGCCATCCGCATGCCCGTGGTTTTGGTGTGGGGTGTTCTGCCTATGGACACTGGCGACCCCCTGGATCCCCTTAGCAACAGCTCGCTGGTGAGTGACCCTACCTTCTCAGCCAGCAGCCCTGAGGCCCAGCGCTGGCTGCTGGCACTTTGCCATCAGGCCCAGAATCAGAGCTTTTTTGGCACCCAGCCCGAGGGCGGGCCCACGCTGTGTTTCATGGAGACCCTGCAGCACTGGATGGAGAGCCCCAGCTGCAGTCGCCTGGGGCCTAACCTCTGCTGTGGCCATTCAGACTTTCCCTGGGCCCCACAGCTCTTCCTGCACTGCCTGAAGATGATGGCCTTGGAGCAAGGCCCCAATGGCACCCTTGACCTGGGACCCCGCTTTGACACCCAAGGCAGCCTGGCTGCCCTGGTTCTGCAATTCCAGACCACCTTCCTATATACTCCAGACTACAGCGAGACCCATCGCTTCTACAATGAGGTCAGCCACTGGCTGGCAGCAGAGTTGGGCACGGCACCCCCAGGCCTCCGGGGTGGTTGGTTCACTAGCCGTCTGGAGCTGTTCAGCGTGCAGCACAGCCTGACTACTGAGCCTCCTGTGGTGCTGGGCCTGGCTCTGGCACTGGCCTTTGCCACACTGCTGCTGGGTACCTGGAATGTTCCACTCAGCCTCTTCTCCGTGGCAGCTGTGGCAGGTACTATACTGCTCTTTGTTGGACTCACAGTTTTGCTTGAGTGGCAGCTTAACACTGCCGAGGCTTTCTTTCTCTTTGCCTCTATGGGCCTCTCAGTGGACTTCACCATCAACTACTGCATCTCCTATCACCTGTGCCCACACCCTGACCGCCTGAGCCGTGTGGCCTTCTCCCTGCGCCAGACCAGCTGCGCCACAGCAATGGGGACTGCAGCCCTGTTTGCAGCTGGCGTGCTCATGCTGCCTACCACAGTGCTACTCTATCGCAAGCTGGGCATCACCCTCATGATGGTCAAGTGCATCAGCTGTGCCTTTGCCAGCTTCTTCTTCCAATCTCTATGCTGTTTCTTTGGCCCAGAGAAGAACTGTGGACAGATCCTCTGGCCCTGTGCCCACCTGCCATGGGATGCTGGTACTGGGGAGCCTGGTGGGGAGAAGGCAGGCCACCCACGACTAGGGCCTCTGGGGATGGTGCCTGGGTCCTGCTCAGAGCAATATGAGCTACAGCCCTTGGCACGACGCCGGAGCCCCAGCTTTGACACCAGCACAGCCACCAGCAAGCTGTCCCACCGACCCTCAGTACTCTCTGAGGACCTACAGATGCATGATGGTCCCTGCTGCTCCCGGCCCCCACCAGTCCCTGCTTCCCCAAGGGAGCTGCTCCTGGACCACCAGGCAGTCTTCAGCCAATGCCCAGCCCTGCAGACCTCCTCCCCCTATAAGCAGGCTGGCCCCAGCCCCAAAACCCGGACCAGGCAGGACTCCCAAGGGCAGGAAGCTGAGCCCCGGCAGGCCTCACCAGAAGCCCCAGCCCACTCGCCCAAGCCCAAGGCTGCAGAGCCTCCTGATGGCCTCTGCTCCTCAGCCAGCACCTTGGAGGGGTTGAGCGTCTCCGATGAGACCTGCCTAAGCACCTCTGAGCCCAGTGCCCGTGTACCAGATTCCGTGGGTGTCTCCCCTGAGGACCTGGATGACACTGGGCTGCCAGTACCTGAGCGGGGCCAGATGAATGGGAAGCGGGATACCCTGTGGCTGGCGCTGAAGGAGACGGTGTACGACCCATTAATGCCCACCTCCCACCAGAGCAGCTTGTCCTGGAAGGGCCATGGGGGAGTGGGGGGTGGCAGTCCTGTGATGGTGCCCAACAGCCGGCCAGATCTGCCTGACGTCTGGCTGCGCAGGCCCAGTACCCACACATCTGGCTATAGCAGCTAAGGAAGGCCCTGGAAGGCCAGGCCTGGGGCGCAGAGCCCTGTCCAGATGATAAGGCAGAGCAGCAGCAGGCTGGACCCTAAAGCTCTTTCTCCTTGTCTACATGGAGAGGTCTCACCCTCCAGCTATGGATTTTAAACCCTGCCAGAGGCTCCAGCCTTGATTTGGTTGCTGCTTACTCCTCACATCTGGAGGATTCCACAGGGAGGGTCTTGGGAGGGGACTTGCTTGTGACCTACTGAGGCCTTGTCTGCCCCACAGTCCCAACCATGACCCCTCCTCTAGAAAGGGGGAAGGCCAGATTTGTAGCTCCAGGAATCAGGGGAGGCTGACCTGACCCTCATCCCAAGTGACGAGAAGTTCAGTGAAACTAAGGACCCCATCATTGGAATCCTGATGGAGTACCTCACTGACCAGAGGGCCCTCAGGAACCTATGCAGCCTCCTAAGTCTCACCCCTTTCATGGGCTCATCCGGGACCCTCCCCTCTCTTTGGGAAGCTTTTCTGGGCCGGGATTAGGCTGGGGCCCCTGTCCTGAACTGCCCTGCTCTCCTCACACTCACCAATCTAACTAGAAATTCTCCAAGCTGGGCACAGATGGTTTCTGGGAGTGGAGCAAGAGGAGGGATGGTCAGCCTTAGAGTATTCCTAAATTGCAGGACAGTCCCCCTTTGGAAGCAGGCTGCGGTGCTCTCCCCTGTTACTGAACAATAATAATCCTTTACCTCCCTGTACCTTTTCAGTCTTCTTGGATTCTCACTACTTCACTACAGGGTAGCCTGCAGTTGGTCAGGATCTTTTGCCCCCAAATTACAGGTAAAGACATTGAGACTAAGTAAGGTTAATTGACTTACCCTGATAAATGACAGAGTGGTTTTATGACTCATTCCACCCCCACAGCTCCCAGTCTCCTCCTGGCTACCTGCCCCAGGGACATTAGCTTATGGCTATCTTGGTCCTTCACCCCAGCACCCTGCTCCAGCCTGCCTCCTCTGGTGTCTCTAAGTAAACCTCCATCTCCAGAGAAAGCCCTGACTCCTCCACATCTCCCCTTGCTTCCCTCTAGAATCTGCTGAGATGCCTACTGCCCTGGGGCATCATGGCTGATTGGGTTCTCAGGCTTCAAAAGTGTGCCTCTTTTAAGGCCTCAGTGTATGGAGAGGCCCTACCAGGAAAGGTGCCAAGGGAAGAAAAGATTGAGTAGAATCCAATTAAGGCAGGAATTCAGACCTGTCCTTTTTGGGAGTGTATAACTCTGAAGCTGCTCCTTGTCAGGGTCCCCAACCTTTGGATGGGTCACTGATGGCACCATGTGCCTGGCATCATCATTTTTGCTAGAGTTCAAGTACCTAGGATTAGGTGACCAGGAGGGCTTCCTGGAGGAAGAATGACTTGAACTGGGCTTTAGAAGACCAAGTATCTTAGACTAGAAGGGGCCTTAGCAATCATCTACTCTAGCAATTTTCAAATATTATGGTCTCAAGACCCTTTCTTCAAAGAACCCTGTGTGGAAACACAATATATAGAACATGTAAAAAGCATCTACTCTGGGGGGCACAGGTGTGGGGGTACAGAGTCAGCTCAGCCTCCCTTTTACTGCCACCTCTTTAGGGATATGGTCTGAAAACCACTGATCAGGCCATTTTATCAGAAAAGGGAAGAGATTTTTCCAGGGCCAAACAGTCTGTGTCAGAGCTGGAGGCAAATTGGCAAGTGCTTTTATTTTGGTCCATTCCTATGTTATTGAGACCCACCTCCCACCCCAATTACTTCATGAGTGATTGGAGCAGAATTCTTTGGAGCAGAAACCCAATGAGACATGGGAGTTGTGGAAGAGATAAAAGACAGTCCAGATAAACGCTGGAAGGGGAGGCAGTGACTAGGACCTAATTTGGATCTTTCCTCCGGGGTTCCTTTTTCTCATCATGTCAAAGTAGCATCCAGCCTTTCTGGCCTTTGGCTGCTCATCAGGGTCCTGGCTTCTCTGGTAACTATGTCCCACCATTATCACACAGCCAGGATGAGAGAGCCCTGGTCTCCTTTGGAACAATGAGCCATGGGGAGGACAAGGGAACCCTTCCTCCTGAGCATGAGCAGAAGTCCTGACTTGGCTCAAAAGAGAGTCCAGCATCTTAGTTGCTCCTGAGCAACTAACCCGGACTCTTATAGCCCATTTTGTGTGTGATCAGCAGGTATCTGGACCTAAAAAAAAAAAAAAATCTGCTCCCTCTTTTGTGTCTTGCAAGGGGAGAGACTGGTATCTGGGAGTGGAGCTTCAAACACTTTGTCTGAACATGACCACTGATGTTAGAGTGTGGAGGGGTGGGTAGGTGGGCATCAGGGAGTGGGCCCTATTTGGGGATTTCTGGGTACCATTCTTACAGGCTTATACAACCCCACAGGAAGGCAGATGAGGCATAGCAGCTGATGTATCAACTGGATTTGTTCTTTATGTTGCCAGGCCCCGAAGACTGGAAGAAACCAGCGGTGATCTAAAACATCACCTCATACCTAGAGTGGCCCAAACCAACAGCAGGAAACCCACATCAGCGGGTAATCCAGCCAGCCTCTCTAGCCCTGACTTTGGAATGTGGAACTTAAAGCATTTTCAATATCCTTTGAGTTTCAGCAGATCTGTTCACTTTATTAATGTTATGGCCCTGGACACGTGTGGCTTAGAAGCATGCTGTGAGGCATGTGAAAGCCAGTCAAAGCATCCGTGTTTACCCTGCAAAATTCAACAAATGGTTTCTTTCCATAGAGATGTTTTAAAATAGAACTATATTAACACTCACTTGGGAATTGAGGTCATTTCTCCTATTTGTGCCACCCACTTGTGAACTTACCCTCAGTGTATAAGTATATGTGCTGTATGTTTTAAAAATATTACTTTGGGCTGGGCATGGCGGCTCATGCCTGTAATCCCAGCACTCTGAAAGACCAAGGTGGGAGGATTGTTTGAGCCCAAGGGTTTGAGGTTGCAGTGAGCTGTGATCACACCATTGCCCTCTAGCCTGGGCAAAAGAGCAAGACCCTATCTCTAAGGCAAATAAACAAAAAATATATATGTGTATCTATAACTTGGTATAGTTTGTTACTATGAGAAAACTCAACCTTCCATGGCTATGGTGTTTTGGGAACTTTTAGAATGACAATATTAGACAGAGATTGATTGATTTGACTGGCAGAATTTTAGATTTTGCTGACATGTAGCATATTCCATACTATGATATTTAGGTAATATTCCAGCTTGAGCCAATTGTGAAAGAGACATTTCACAAGAGATTTATATGCCGCACCTCCTAGCCGCCTTTGACTCATTCCATCCTTTTCCCAGTGCATGACAGAGCAGGAAAGGAGGTGAACGGTTTTAGGAAAGAGGACGCATTGGTTTACAACCTTCACCTGTTGTCTAGAGAGTTTTCTGATCTTGTATTCTGTGGTGGCATTATCTTACCCTTCGATAACACATAGAGGCAAAGGCAAGCTCGCTGGCATGCCATGCCATGCATCAAGATCCCATTTCCCTGGGGATAGTAAAAACAGACATTCCTCATCATTTCCATTCTTACCCTGTTTATAGTAATGATTGTAACTTGAGGTGTGCAGGTGTTTAGGCTTAAGAAATTGTAACTCAATTTGCCAGGAAGAGGAAAAACAAAAGAAAGCTACTGTGTGCTATGTAAATGTCTGGCCATCCAAAGCCACTCTGCAGAAGAGCCCTGGAAGGAGCTTGATAAATTGCTCTCACAATTATTATCATGCCTCTGTGTGGTTATTCATGTTATAGCTCGACATAGAGAAAAGATCCACATTTTACCAAATTCACACAAACATCAAACAAACAAGAACTCCGGTTTGCTGAAGAAAATCACACAGCTGAGTAGATCGATGAGATCAACACTCATGAGGACTACTCACCTCAACTGGACCCTCAGATCTGCCTAGCTAGTTTCCATTCTAGTTACTAGCTTCCATGCTTCATAATAACGATTTCATATTTTCTTCACCTCCCTCAAACATCTGATCCTCTCCATCCCCCCACCCCCATTTTCAGTGAACAGAAAAATTCACTCTTCTAGAAGAAAACCGAAGCCCTCAGAAAGAAATTTCCTCCCCTTCAAGGTGTCAAGGCCCCAACTTACCTACCCCTGCCTGCCTCTCTCTCCACTTCTTCCTCCTATACAATGAAGGAAGCAGCGATGGCTCCATCAGTAGCTTCACACACTTGATTAGGATGTGAAGAAGGTGGGCGGACACAGATCATTTTCAGGAAATCAATTTCCAAAGCCACCTCTGTGGTGTTCCCTCTCCTTATAATGATGGGCCCAAGAAGAAGCCTTAGTCTGCCGTTTCTCCTTCCTGACCTTCACTTTCTCAGTTCCCTTCTCTCCCTCATTCTGAATACTACTCTGGCACCTTGCTCGGCAGTGTAAAAAAACAAAAGGACTACTTGAGAACCTTCCGCTTGAGGAAGTCCTCAAGAGAGCAAAGCCTAGAGCAGGCCTCCTCAAACTACAGCCGCAGGCCACATTTGGCCCACCTAGGACATTTATCTGGCCCACCAGGTCTTTTTGCCACTGCTGCCTGTCCTGCTTGGCAGCCGACTCGTCCCAGGGCCCTCAGTCTGGCCCTCCAACGGTCTGAGGGACAGTGAACTGATCCCCTGTTTAAAAAGTCTGAGGACCCCTGGCCTAGAGAACTTCATTGAGAAGATTCAAAGTGGGCAGTCCTGTGCCTCAGTTCTGTGCCCTCTTCATTTAATCATTCAAATCCAAAAGTGCCATGGTTGACACAGGATACATATTAACCACACTTCTGTGAATGGAAAAACAAAATTAGACATTTTCTGGTAGAAAGTCCATCTGATATTGGCTGATGGGCTTACCAGAGAGGACAGGCTTTGCAAATAGGATATATGGTAGACATTTTCCCCAAAATGAAAGAACTTTAATCTGCAGCTCCATGGTTTGAACAAAAATATATTTAAAGTACATACGCAACTTCCTTTCCCAGCAAACATGGAGTAGCAAGGACCAAATTTACCCTCTTGCCTGAAAACAACCAATGAAACAGACAAAGAAAAAAAAGGGTTTAAGGACACTAGACATCAGGCAAAAAAAGAAGACAGTGATTCCCGAGAAACAAAAAACAAATGAGATGAGTCCCGGTGATCACCTAGTTAATCCCTGAGAATTTCCAAGATATATTGCAGGGAGGGAGAAACCATGCGGACTCTGAGCTAAGGGGACATCTATGACTTTGAGGCAACCAAGGTGGCTAAATACTCAGGACAGAGTACTGGAGAGGAAAAAGGTACACAGAGAATTCTGAAAATCTGCAAAGGCCCCCTCTTGAAGGTTCAACAGAGTACAACTCATTGTCTAAGTGTGATGAAACTACTTGAGATCAAGCAAAGAACACCCAGAACCATAGGAGGGAAGAGTAGCCACTAGTCACAGACAGCCTGAACAGGGCCTGTCCCCACTAGCCAGACTGGAAAACTTCTTAATTTATGGAGAATCGGAGACAGTTCTCAGAAGGGTCTTGCATCAGTAGTGGGGATTCATTAGCCCTAGGCTTTTTTTTGTTTTGTTCTTTTCAGTTTTTGGCCGGGGCTGGGTTTGAACCTACCACCTCCGGCATATGGGGCTGGCGCCTTACTCCTTTGAGCCACAGGCACCACCCCTAGCCCTAGTTTACATACTGCTCAGTCCTATCTAACAAATCTG